GATAGCAGAAAGAGGCTGGCCCACAGGACAGCTACGCTCCCTCCTGCAACACCGTCCCTGGGCAGGAGGAGGGGGCGAAGAGCCTGTGGAGATGCCCCCAGCCTGGAAGGGAAAGGGGATCCCAGTATAACCCCCAGGCCCGGGAGCGGAGGGTGCAGAACCCTGGAAAGAACAAAGGGGAAGCTGGAGGCAGTGGAGGGGGAGGGAAGGGGAGGAGCTGAGCTGATTTGGAGATGGGTCGGGGCAGAAATAGTTGCTGGGGAGGAGATGGACAGAAGCAGAGGCCAAAATCCTCTCACCCAATACATTTGGGAGAGGCTGGAGCAGTGCGCACATTCTAAGAGGCACACATGCACACACAAGGGCTGTCCGTGCATTGCATAACATGTTTCCAAACCCTGCCCACCCCTTGTACACAACGTGAAGGGCCCGCTCATGCCTTATGGACAGACCATTGGCCTCACCTCACAAAGAGCAGGGGCAAGAGGAGTTTGCACAGATAAGTGGACGTGGCGTACCTAGACTTTAGTAAGGCATTTGTTATGGTCTTGTGTGACCTTATCAATAAACTAGGGAAATACAACCTAGGTGGGTGCATAACTGGCTGGATAACTGTTCTCAGAGAGTAGTTATTAATGGTTCACAGTCAGGGTCTAACTCTTGAACGTGGCAGTACTGGAATCATTCCAGGAAATCAGACCAGCAGAGCAGGGTAGTAATGCCCTGGGAAGACTTTTCTGGGGGGGTGTCCCAGTCCCACACCTAAAGAGTCGTTAAACTTCTTAAACAAATCTCTTAACGGCCAGGCTCAGACACATTTCTGAAGAAATGCCCAGCCCGGAGGCAAAGTAGAAGGGTGAGGCTCCTTAGGCTGCCCCCAGTATTTTAAGCTCTGTTGGCAGCGTGAGCTTTCTGCAGAATTAGGCTTTGCTTTTGGATTCTGCAACAGACAGAGGAGGCAGGTCATCTCCATACAGACTTAATGAGTGTCCAGGTTTAATAACATAAACGATCACGCGATCTCCTCTGTATGTGGGAATCCCCTCTGAACGTGGCAGCAATTTTAAGAACATAAAATTAGTGTCCTTGATGGGACAGCTAAATTATGAAAGCAGCTTGCAGACTGGTTCAGTCTCTTACAGGAAATTCTCACGGAGCCTGTGTCACAGATGAGAAATGACATCTATTTTTTTTTTTTTTTGCTTTTTGTTGTTGTTCTGTGAAGTCTTTACATACACAATCCAGCCTTGTTGAGAATTCTGCCACAGGGATGTGCCTCAAGCCATTAAAGGTTTGCAAAGAAAAGCCTTCATACCAATACTGGTTTCACATTACTTCAGTGGGATCGATCGTTTTATTATTATGACTGATCTTTATATTTGCAGTGTAGCAGAAATAACACATCACCCCTTTCTAGTAGGCTGCGCTGGCCTGTGTATGTGAAAAGCCTTGTTTGCAGGTTACCTGGTGTTGACCTGCCTTATGAAGCCAGCCTTTGAATGGGAACTAGATCTGCTGTAAATTAATTAATTCAAACTAGCACATCCAACTCTCTTGTGGTTATGTACACAAGAGCAGTTGAACCTGCCTCAAAGAGCAATTTCAATAGGCAGTAGACACAGTTGTTCCTGGACTAAAAAAAATACCGGTCATGTTACAAACAGTAAGCACTCCTATGTATAATGCTTTAGGGGAAACAAAGTTTACTGGGCAAAGGGAAAAGAGCTAAGTAGGTAATACTTTATAAAGCAAAGGAAAAACAATCAGTCCATTTGTCATGGCCAACCATTTTCCCAGCGCTCATATTTCTGAGAGCCCGACTTTGTTTTAGTTTCAGTGCTGACAGACAGATGTAGCTCTAGCTAGAAGGAACAGCCAATACATCGGGGACAGTCATTTTAAACAATTGCGGGGGTCTAAACAGAAGCAGGCTGAGTGCTTCTGATAAATTCGTGGTCCCATACAGGGTTCCCATGAAAAGATTTAGGACATCTCTACACAGCAAGGTCCAGTGCCTAGGGTGTGCTTCCCCTGCAGATTCTCTGTAACTACCCAAATAAACACACTAGAATTGGTGAAGGCATTCCCTGGAGTGCCATAGGAGCACCCATAATATAGATGAAAAGTCTCAGAGGGATTGCCGAGTTAGTCTGTATCAGCAAAAACAACTAGGAGTCCTGCAGCACCTTAAAGACTAAGGGTATGTCTACACTTGCAGCCTAATTCGAACTAGGGATGCAAATGTAGGCATTAGGAATTGCAATCTTCTGTAACTTCTACTCCAATTCATCTGATGAAGTGGGTTTTTCTCACGAAAGCTTGTGCCCCAATAAAATTTACATGCGGCAGTGAAACGGGTGTTCGAAATAAAGCCCTCATTCGAACTACCTGTTAAACCTCATTGCAGAAGGAATAATGGGTAGTTCGAATGAGGGCTTTATTTCGAACACCCGTTTCACTGCCGCATGTAAATTTTATTGGGGCACAAGCTTTCGTGAGAAAAACCCACTTCATCAGATGAATTGGAGTAGAAGTTACAGAAGCAGGGGTGTATATATAAATATAAGGAATAAATTGCTTGCTCCAGTTCGAATTCATTTTCAAATTCAACACTATTAATTTAGGATTGAATAAGGATTTCGACTGATTTTCACATCACAAAGGCAATTTCCCCTCTCTGAATATTCACATTCCAGACCAAATGTTATGAATGAACCCTTCCATTCTGACTTGACAAGCTTCATTAATGCAAGCAACTTCCTCCTTCTATACAAATACTCCTGCTTCTGTAATTTCTACTCCAATTCAGCTGATGAAGTGGATTTTAGCCACAGAAGCTCATGTCCTAATAATTCTGTTTGTCTCGAAGCCCTGATCTACACTAGGGAGTTATTTTGAAATAACAAGCAAAGCGTCCACACTGCCAAACCTATTATTTCAAAATAAGGTGCTGGTGATTTCGAAAACTGTACTTAGGGTTGCCAGGCGTCCGGTTTTCACCTGGACAGTCCGGTAATTGTGTTTTCTGTATTGTAAAAAAAACCCCAGAAAATACTGGACATGTAAAATGTTCGGTATTTTTCTTGGATGGAAGGCCAGTGGGGACATTTTTTCTGCCATGTCTGGTGGTGTCGGGGGGAGCGTGGGAATTTAAAGATGCAGCGACTTTTTTTTCTCAACAAGTTTGGTACCCCCCCCCCTTTTTTTTTGCTCAACCAATTTTTTTCCCCTGCCATGTTCAGGATTTTTTGTGAAGGTATTTGTCAACCCTCTCTGTACTCCTGCTTTCCAAGAGGAATAACACTTATTTTGAAATAGTGATTTTAAAATACCGGTAGTCCGGATGCTCTGCTGCTGCTATTTCGAAATAACTACTCCCCAGTCATTCAGAGTAATTACTCCCCAGTGTTTCCCAGGACTCTAAATCAAGGTAACACATCTGTATTAAAGGAGCCTGCCTCAAACTAATTTCGAGGTGTCCCCTGTAGTGTGGACGCGCTTTTTCAAAATTATTATTTCTGGAGTTATTTCGAAATAAATCGTTTTTAAATAATTTCCTAGTGTAGGCCAGCCCGTAGGTGCCACAGGACTCCACAATGCAGATGAGTCAGCTGGGCGCCCAGCCTCTCCACTCTGATCTCCCCACCATTGGGAGTTAAAATAGTGCCATTGTGTGAGCAGTGAACCCTTCACACCACTTCATATGCTTTGCCTTCGTTTGTGTCCCTCCCATGCACTTGGGCACGGGCTAGAAGGCTGGCGGATGACAGCAAGAGGCTGGTATACAACTGTGTCTGACACTGCCTCTCTGGTTCTTCCCCCAAACAGTCCATCTCATCCCTCCCTCTTCTCTCAGCATTTTTTACAGGCTGAGAGAGTCTGTTTCCATTTTCGGGGAAGCGAAAGCTCTACTTGTTCATTCAGCATTGGCAGAGGAAGGCGTCCACTGACTTGCTGTCATTAGAAGTACAGTAGTTTGAATTTCCTGGCAGGAATAGCTACAAAATGAATCAATAATATGATGAACTCCTGATCAAGGGCAGCTTATTGAGGAAGGGTACATTTAAAAGGAAGCAACTGAGATGTTGGTCAAAGAGCAAAACAAGAGTGGAAGGAGGCAGAAATGTGATGACCAGATAAAAGATAACAATTATGTTTTCTCTTACTGGTGAGACAAGAAGATTCCACTGATATTGGTAAGAACAAAAGTGCTTGGGGATTGGACATCAGAATTTGCTCTTTGACTTCTAGTTCTTTCAGATCTATGAGCAAGAGATGGTGTTTGAGGAAAATCAGCTTATTTTCTTGAGAAAGCAGTATATGGATATAAATACATGGATTAGCTGTGTCTGCAGAACCTGCCTGTAACTCTGGCATGGTGGTGCCATTGAATCTCCTGAGTTATAAACAGCCTCATATTCACTGCTGCGATTTACCCGAATAGGTAAAATTAGACAGCCTGCACTTCCAAAATGACCACTGCCTAAGACTGCCAGTGAGTCTTTGGCTGCTGAATCCCAAGAGGCCCATTAACACTGCAAAAAGTCATGTTACAAGATGACATTTCTCTGACCGCTTTATAGAATAGTCTGTTCTTGCTGTGCAGATGGTGCCAAATAGCATTATCCATGTTGCCACAGCCCTGCAAAGCCTTTGCATCCAGATGAGGCTGAACAACCTATTTTAAAAGAAGATCTAGGGACCATTTTGTTAGAACTTGATGTCAAAGGATATTTCTTGGTTGTTACATCCAAACGAGAGAGGCCTTTGATTTGTCAAGCTGAACAACAGGCATTGCTTGTTAACTGGTTATAAGTCCTATTAGTTAGCTGTGGAGTCAGTGCAGGAAAGCTCCATGTGTCTCTAAGCTAGGGAGAGGAGAAGCTAATGCGATGACACTTGGGGATGAACATGGGACACAAAGAGCGATGAATGGCGGGGGAAGAAGAGGGCTATTTCAGGATCCCCCCCAAGCTGTGATAGAAAGGGGAGTCAGTTCATTTTTGTAGGAATCTCTCTCTTTTGTGTGATGCAAGAGCAGCATCTGTAACCAGGACCCTTACCTTCATGTGACTGTCCACCTGACATTTTCCTCCCCAGAATGGAATCTGCCAATAGACATGTAGATTGCTATGACCAAATGCATCCCTGTATTCATACTCTACAGACTAGCGAAATAATCTTTGTACAAAATATGCCCTGGGAGGAATCCTTTGAAAACTAACACTTTGCTGGTAAATAACATCATGGAAATGTATGTAGTAACAGTATATGCAAAGTTATGAATTCTTCCCGAATGATAGTGGTACAAGTTCAAACCCGTGTAGTCCCAGTTAGGCAGAACTAGACAAGCAGGCCTATCCTAACCAAAGACATGCGTGTTTAACTCAATTTATATATACATAGTAAACAGGCAGCAAGATGGAGACAAGGCAAACCCGCATTTTAGCAAATCACAGCAGAGCGCCTCTCTCACCACCAGATTCCTTGGCTCTGTTCTCACAGGTAACCCTGAGGAAAATTTTCAGAGGGGTGGCCGAGTTAGTCTGTAAGAGGAAAAACTTAAAAAACAACAAATAGTCTAGCAGCATCTTAAAGACTAACAACACGTGGAGATGGCATCATGAGCTTTTGTGGGCACAGCCCACTGCTTCAGATGAAAATGCATTTCAAAGAGTGATAGGACTGTAAAAGTGAGGGGCAAAAACACCAGACACTTCTCTCTCTTTCACTTAAACAGATAAAAAAACAAAACAAAACAAAAAAAACCAAACCCAAACCAGTCGGTGGATGGTGAGAGCAGGTCCTGACCAGAAACTTGGTAGCAACATTACTGGAAACCCGTAGTGAGAATGTCATCTTGGGCCAAGCCTAGTTGGCTAAGTTTAGCACTAGGAAGCATTTTATCTTATTTCTCTAGTGACCATTTCTAACTTTGATGGTTTATACCTGTGCTTTCTTAAAATCGACCTCTTCATAGTTTTAGAGGGACTTAATTTATTCTTTCATCAAAGCTCGTTCATTGTTATGGAGTGTTTGGGTAATACCTCTTAAGGCAACACGCCCTATGGATCCCCTGATAGGAGTCCGGGGCCCAATATCTGGTCTGTCCAGGAAGGGGCAGGATAATGCAAAACACACATTTAGGGAAGGAAACCCAGGACTCAAGGTAGCGCATCCACATTAGGGGAGCCTGATTTGGACTAATTCTCAGGCTTCCCTGTAATGTAGACGCGCTATTTTGAACTAAGCTATTTTGGAGTGTTTCGTCTGGAAAAGCTTAATCCGAAATAAGAGTTCATTGTAGACGCCCCTTGGTGTCGTTACCTGCATGCTGTCAGGCTGTTTGTGAGCAATCTAGTAGGAATTACAGTGGCAAAGCATTGTGAGGCAATGCACAGGGGTGACACAGCCGTGCTGGTTTGCACCCTGGAAGGTCATAATTACACAGACCAGAGGGTCAAAAGGAAAAAGGAAGAAATGGCTGGGGGAGGGAGTCGTTAGGGACTATTTTCTTCTCACCTGAAGTAAAGCTCGCGCTGTCTACAAATATCCCTGCAAACCTCATGTTCCAACCTAATAAACTTCCAACTCTTTATCCAAAATGTCTATCACCCCCATCTTCCTACTCCACCCCTACAAAGAGACAAAATTTTCTTCCTTCACAAACTCCTGGCCCTCTCTAACTTCCATCCCACTAGAAAAGATCCCAAGATTTGAACTCAGCTTGTTTCAATTCCTTTCCACAACCCAGGCCTTGTAATACCTGTTCCCAGACTTCCCTGTCTCATGCAGTCTCCCTCTCAGCAGAAAAGGTTTCCATGTTTTGTACTGCTTTTCTTTTACTGGCTTCTGTAAAGTCTGTTAATAGCAGAGTAATTAGGGGTTTTCTACCTGGAAATTTACCAAAATATTGATTCTGGACTATACCAAAAAAATTATTTTGGTATGAGTCTCCATGTGGACCCTCCGATTCCAGAACAAGCCTGTCCCTACAGAAACTGATACCAAAATTAAATTCAGTCTGGAATAACTATTTTGATACAAGTCCAATTAAAGAAAAGTCCTCTAAGGAGGAAGGGAAATGCACTACAACCCTAGGAAGGGGATGGGGGAAGAAAGAAACACACCACAGTCCCTTAGGGCTCGAGGGGATGGAGAAATGGGTAATAAAGCTAAAGTAACCCATCCCCCAAAAGTGCAAGGAGGGTAACTGGACTCAGTTCCCCAGGGACAGGCACTAATGAGTTGCAAACCCCAACGGGGTATGGGGAAAGAGAGAGATAAAAGGGCTCAGTTTCCCTCATTCACCTTTGAACAGCTCCACAGGCTTGAACTCGAAGCAGATGTTGTTCTTCTTTGCAAAGATGTAGACGGCCCGGCAGGGTGGGGAGATCAGATCCAGGTACAGCTCCAGCGCCATCCTGCCTGTCAGCATAGGGAGCAGCGGAAAAGAGAGAGACTTGTCTCAATGTGACTTTGGCAGCAGCAACAGACAGAAGGGCGGACAGAAATTTCTCTCCTCTGCAGCCAATGGCTTAACTCTTAACCAATAAGGAGAGCCCTTTCCCTGCTCTGCCACGAGAGGTAGAAGGGCAGGGACTGCTGTAGGTGAGCAGTAACTTTCCCTCTCATTCAGAAAGGGATTAGACAGTCGTGCAGATAATACTGAGCACAGCCACTGTTATGTTACATGGGAATATCAATAAACCTTCATCTGCAGCATTAACCAGTTAGGTGGCTCTCAGGCTATGACCACTGTTTGTTGTCTAGGGTGCTGCTAACATGTAACCCTCCATCTCTTTCTTTCACCCACCTGTTGTCTCTCCTCATAGGCAGGAAGCTCTCTGTGGCAGGTACCAACTTTTCATACTCTGTGTCAGTGATGCCTGAGACAATACAGTGGGGGTATGTCTAGACTACATGGCTCTGTCGACAGAGCCATGTAGATGAGTTTACTAGACATAGGAAAATGAAGCAGCGATTTAAATAATTGCTGCTTTATTTACATAAAAATGGCTGCTGCACTGTGCCGATCAGCTGTTTGGCAGTCGGGACGCACCGCGGTTGAAAACGGAAGCCTTTGTCGACTGCTTCGGTAAACATCATTTCACGAGGCATAACGGAGTGGTCGACAAAGGCTTCTGTTGTTGACTGCAGCACGTCCAGACTGCCCCTCTATGCCGCTAAACAGCTGATCGGCACAGCGTGGCGGCCATTTTTATGTAAATGAAGCGGCGATTATTTAAATCGCTGCTTCATTTCCCTATGTCTAGTAAACTCATTTACATGGTTCTGTCGATGGAGCCAGGTAGTCTAGACATACCCTGGCTGATCACACAATACAAATAAATATTTAACTTGGTGGAGTTAGGAAGAACTTTCCCCGCTGCGCAAGTTTTCCCATAAATGACAAGCCTTGTACTTCCCTGTGACATCTCTTAACCCTTTGATTATTTGCTGCTTTTATATCCCTTGGGGGAAAGCAGCCGAAGGGCATTGATCAAAAATAATTGTAAACCAGGCAGCTCAGCAAACCCAGTAATCAATAGGAGACAAGGATTTGGGAAAGAGCCTAGGACAGCCGTGGCCAACCCATGGCTTGTGAGCCACATGCTGCTCTTCCCTCCCTGGGTGAGACTCATGAAGCCCTCCCTCCCCCGTGGCTTGTAAAGCCCCCCTCTCTACCCCTGAAAATAGCCCTCTCCTCCTGGCTCCCTGTGCCCACTAGGGGAGGGGAGCTGTCAGGCACGGCCATTAAAGATGGAGCTGGTGGGAGCCTCTAAATGCATTTTATTAAATGGGCAGTCCTTTTTTTTTTTTTGCTCAACAACTTTGCCCTGGCTCTTCATGCTGGATCCATTGATATCTTGGCACTTTGCCCGGAATGGGTTGGCCAGCCCAGCCTAGGATAAGTCCTGGCGCCATCACAGACTTCCTGTGTGACCCTCAGCAAGTTTAAAACAATTAGTAGTCCTGGGGCACCTTAGTCTTTCTAAATAACACCCCTTATTCCAAAATAATAACTGGAGTGTTCACATTACCAAGCCTGTTATTTCAAAATAAGAGGCTGGTTATTTCAAAATCTGTACTCCTCCTTTCCTTGGGGAATTATGGTAATTTTGAAATCATTATTTCGAAATAGCGGTCGTGTGGCCACTCCGATGCTGCTATCTCAAAATAACTACTCCTCCAAGTCATTCAGAGTAATTACTCCATAGTGCTTCCTGGGATTCTCAGTTGAGGTAGTGCATCCACATTAACGAAGCCTGTCTTGGACTGATTTTGAGGCTTCCTTGTAGTGTGGACACACTATTTCGATTTTGTTATTTCGGGAGTTATTATTTCAAATTTAGTTATTTCAAAATAGTCTCCTAGTGTAGACCTGCCCCTAGAGACTAACAAAAAATGCAGATGGTATCATGAGCTTTCATGGCCACAATCCACTTCTTCAGATGACTGGAGCAAGTCTGTAAGGTATCTAGTTATCTTTCTACATCTCACCCTTAGTCTCTCTCTGCCTCCATGCCCCTCTATACAACAGGGATAACAGCACTCGCCTGTCTCATGAGTGTTGAGAGGATAAATACATTAAAAATTGGAAGGCACTCCAATCAGAGGCGTAGCAAGGGTGTTTTGTGCCTGGGGGCAAAGGCCAAATTTGTGCCCTTCCCCATCATTTGTTACTGTTGAGCTGTTATTATTTCTAATGCGTTACTTGCTAGTAAACCTAGTTGTTTTTCATACTCTCACATAGCGATAAACTACATCATACTTATGAAAGTAAGAGATTAACTTGCCTGTTAAAATAACACTCAGAAATATTTTTAAATCAAAGTAACACAATTTGAGAATTGCCGTCACTTTTTTGGAAGCACTTGAAGCAATAAATTAGAGCAGGAGGGGTGGTGCTCTGGGGGAGTGGAAGGGGTTTGGGTTAGAATGTGGGTATGGGAGTGCCTGACTCTAGGGGAAAGGAAGGGAATATTTTGTTAATATTTTGGTTTTTATTTATTTATTCCCAAGTAAAATCACAAAATGTATATTACATTTATATCAATAAATATATGTCAATTTTTTACAGTTGCATGAATAATTATATGTTTATGCAAAATCTCAGACTTACGAAGTATCTGAAATTTTCACAAAAGCCTGTTCTATTTGATTGATCTTGATCTATACTTGTTTTTATTTCAACAAAACAAGTTATGTATCATATAAAAAATTAAAGTACCTTAAATTTATATTTCAATTTAAAATATTTATATGAGCAAATAACAATTTTACACATCAAATTATTGTATTATATTAAAACAAGACGTGAAAAAATATTATAAAACATATCCAAAATGTAATCTATAATAATAAATAACTACAAAATGTAGAGAAGTACACTTTCTTTCTTTCTTTCTTTCTTTCTTTCTTTCTTTCTTTCTTTCTTTCTTTCTTTCTTTCTTTCTTTCTTTCTTTCTTTCTTTCTTTCTTTCAGTTTTCATTTGTGTGGCCCTCAGAGGGCTTCAAGTTTGACATGCCTGATATATCTTTGTTAGTCTTTAAAGTTCTACCAGACTATTGTTTTTTAAGGTTTTCGTTTTGTAATAAAGTATCATCTATTTAAAAAAATACAAGTAACCACAATGAACTCACCCCTGCCCCAGAGTCAGGCACCTCAGCCCCCTCCATACCAATGCAACTGTAGGTAAATCTCATTAATCTCTGTATTAATCATTTTGTCGTTGAAATTTTTAATTTTAACTTTGTATCAAGTCCTTTTAGCATTGTAATAAGTCTTTAGTTTGTTGTATTAAGTCCTTTTATAGAAACTTTGTATACTTTTACAGAACATGGAACCTTTGTATGAAGCCTTTTTACACAGAAACCTTGTATCCTGCAAAAGCGGCGAGGGGTCCTGTGGCACCTTGTAGACTAACCAGAAGTGTAGGAGCATAAGCTTTCGT